TCCATACACCTACAAGGAAGATCCATTAATACTACTATTATTCAAATTTACGTACCAATCACCAAAGCCAAAGATGAGGAAATTGAAGATTTTTACCAACTTTTGCAGTCTGAAATTGACCGAATGTGCAATCAAGATGTGCTAATTATCACTGGTGACTGGAATGCAAAAGTTGGAAACAAAGAAGAATCACCTGTAGCTGGAAAATTTGGCCTTGGTGACAGAAATAACACTGAAGATCACATGATAGAATTTTTCAAGAGCAACTACTTATTCATTGCAAATACCTTTTTTCAACAACACAAAGAACCATTATACACGTGGACTTTGACAGATGGAGTACACAGTAATCAGATTGAGTACATCTGTGGCAAGAGGGGATGGAAAGGCTCAATATCTTCAGCCAAAACCAGACCAGGAACTGATTGTGGAACAGACCATCAATTGCTTATATGCAAGTTCAGCTTGAAGTTGAAGACAAATAAAACAAGTCCCCATGAGCTAGTACATGGAATATATCCCTCCTGAATTTAAATACCATCTAAAGGCTAGATTTGATGCAGTGAACATAAATGGCCGATAATGAGAAGAATTGTGGGATGACATCAAGAACATTATCCATGAAGAAAGCAAGAGGTCATTAAAAAGATGAGAAAGAAAGAAGACCAAAATGGATGCCAGAAAAGACTCTGAAATTTGCCATTGAATGGAGAGTAGCTAAAGCAAATGGAAGAAATGAGAAGATAAAAGACTGAACAGAATATTTCAAAGAGCAGCTCGAGCAGACAAAGCCAATTACTACAATGAAATGTTCAAAGATCTGGAGTTAGAAAACCAAAAGGGAAGAACACGTTCCTTTGACGTTTCTCAAGCTGAAAGAATTGAGGAAAAAATTTAAGTTTCATGTTGCAATATTGTAAGATTCCATGGGCAAAATATTGAATGGTGCAGGAAACATCAAAAGAAGATGGAAGGAATACAGAGAGTCACTGTACCAAAAAGAACATGTCAATCTTCATCCATTTCAGGAGGTGGCATATGTTCAAGAACTAATGGTACAGAAGGAAGAAATAGAGCTGCACTTAAAGAATTGGTGGAGAAGACGGCTCCAGGAATTGACAGAATGTCCGTTGAGATGTTTCAACAAATGGATGTCCCATTGGAGACATTCATTTGTCTACACTAAGAGATTTAGACAGCTACCTGGCCAACTGACTGGAAGAGATCCATATTTGTACACATTCCAAAGAAATGTGATCCCACAGAATGTGGAAATTTTGAACAATATCATTAATATCATATGCAAGTAAAATCTTACTGAAGATAATTCAAAAATAGTTGTAGCAGAATATTGACAGAGAACTTCCAGAAGGCCAAGCTGGATTCAGAAGAGGATGTGGAATGAAGGATGTCATTGCTGATGTCAGATGGATCTTGGCTCAAGGCAAAGAATACCAGACAGATGTTTATTTGTGTTTTGTTGACTATGCCAAAGCATTTGATTGTGCGGATCATAACAAATTGTGGATAACATTGAGAAGAATGGGAATTCCTCATGTACTCCTGAGGAACCTGTACATAGACAAGGAGGCTGTTGTTTGAACAGAACAAGGGGACACTACACGGCTTAAAATCAAGAAGGGAGTGTGTCAGGGTTGGATCCTTTCACCATACTTATTCAATCTGTATGCTGGGCAAATAATTAAAGAAGCTGGACTATATGAAGAAGAATGTGACATCAGGTTTGGGGAAACAATCATTAACAACCTACGATAAGCTGATGACACAATTTTGATTCCTGAAAGTGAGGATGATTTGAAGCACTTACTGATGAAGATTGAAGAATAAAGTCTGCAGTATTGATTACATCTCAATATAAAGAAAACAAAATTCCTCACAACTGGACCTATAAGCAGCATCACAATAGATGGACAAAAGATTGAAATTGTCAAACACTTCACATTGTTTGGTTCTACAATCGACACCAATGGAAGCATCAGTCAGGACATCAGACAACATACAGCACTGGGAAAATTGGCTGCAAAGGACATCTTTCAAGTGCTGAAGAGCAAAGATGTCTCCTTGAGGAGTAAGGTGCACCTGACACAAGCCATGGTATTTTCAATCACCTCACGTGCACGTGAGAGCTGGACAATGAATAAGGAAGACCAAATAAGAATTGATGCTTTTGAGCTGTGATGTTCATGAAGAATGCTGAAAGTGCCGTGGACTGCTAGGAGAACTAACAGGTTTGTTCTGGAGGAAGTGCAGCCAGAATGCTCCTTGGAGGTGACAATGGCAAGAATTCATCTCACCTACTTTGCTCATGTTGTCAGAAGGGACCATTCCCTGGAGAAGATGTCATGCTTGGTAAAGCTGAGGATTAACGAAAGAGGGGAAGGCCTCTAATGAGTTGGATTGACACGGTGGCAGCAGCAATGGGCTAAAGTATAGCAAGAATCATGGAGCTCATGCAGGACTGGGCAGTGTTCTGTTCTGCTGTGCATAGGTTCGCTGAGTAGGAGATGACTTGATGGCACCTAACAACAACAGAGCCTGCCTGCTTTTCATATCCCACAAAACTTCACCCAACATCTGACAAGTAAGATAAAATATTGTAGTTCTAAGGAACCGAAAGTGCTGCTGTCTTAGAACACTTTTACTCCCAGAGTCCTCACCTTGTTGCAAAAGATCTTTAGAGACACCTAAGTTTCCTTCTCCATCTTTTTCCCAGAGGTTTTCATACCCTTTTGTCCTTGTGATAGCTCCTGCATGACTTATCTCTGGCAGACTACCCTCTACATATGGGTTGTCAGTGCTTCAGCCCCAGTAAATAGCTTGCTGTGCAAAGCTAGCTCAGAGTCACATCTTTTTCCTGGATCAGCTTCCACACGCCAGTTCCCTCCACCCACCACTTTATCTCTGCTGCAGTGTTCTTAGAGGGCTCACTGTTTTCTAAAACATGTCTTGGAGGGAGTTTCTTCCTCTTTTCCTACTCTGTACTATTTGGCATCAAGAGACAGTAATATTTTTAACCTTTTATTTTGACATATTCTCAGATTTATAAAAAAGTTGCAAGGACAGCACAAATAGTCTTGATATGTCAACATGTGACCACATTTACTCCCTTTTCCTCTCCATCTTTCCCCTTCTCTCCCTTTCTTCTTCCTCTCTCTTTTCTGGTAATTTTTCTGATCCCATTCAAAATAATATGCATTTCAGATATGGTGTCCCTTTCCTCTAAATCTTCAGTATTTCCTAAAAACAATGACACTATTGTATATATCCACAGTACAATGATAAAATTGGTGAAATTAGCATTGATATAATACTACTATCAAATCTACAGAACTCACTCATATTTCAACAATGATCTCAAAAGTGTCACTTGTTTTGTTTAGGTGTCATCAAGTCAGTTCTGACCCATAGCAACCCTATGTACAACAGAACCAAACTTGCCCAGTCCTATGCCATCCTTACCAAACTTTGTTTGAGCTCATTGTTGCAGCCACAGTGTCAATTCATTTCATTGAGGGTCTTCCACTTTTCAGGTCATTTATAAAAAAACCAAACCCACTGCCATCGAGTGGGGTCTGACTCATAGTGACCCCTCATTGGGTTTATGAGGCAGTATCATGATGGAAGTAGATTGTCCAACCTTCCTTCTGAGGAGAGGCTAGTGGATTTGAACTGCCAGCGTTCTGATTAGCAGTCACATGCCTTAGGCACTACACCACCAGATTCTCAGATTATGTATTGCATTTGATGGACATACTTCTTTTACCTCCTTTAATCTGAAACAGTTCCTAGACTTTCTTTGTATTTTATGGTGTTGACATTTTGAACAGCATGGGTCAAGTATTGTGTATCCCTCAATTAGGATTTTTTTGGTGTTCCATAATCTTTACACTGACGTCATGCATTTTGGGCAAAAATTCCACAGAAGTGATTGTACGTACTTTTCAGTGCATCCTGTCAATAGGGACATGATGTTGATTTGTCACATTATTGAAGCTTCATGACTATCTGTCAGAGTTGTTACAAAATAGATGTTTAAGAGAGACAGCTAGGATTAGACACTCCATTTTTGTAGGTTCCACCAAGTTTATAAGTGAAAGGAGATCCAACTCTTAGACAAAATGAATGACTCCATAAATAATGTGATTACAAAGCATAAACATTGATATCATGTAAGAGATGCCTACTTGCTGTTAATTAATATTGTTTTTGTCTCTTTCTTCATAGATACATCAGCTACATGGAAACAGAAAACCAAACAGGAGTTTTAGAGTTCATCCTCCTTGGACTTTCTGAGGATACAGAACTGCAACCTCTCATATTTGGGCTTTTCCTGACCATGTACCTGGTCACCATGCTTGGGAATCTGTTCATCATCCTGGCTGTTAGCTTTGACCCCCACCTCCACACCCCTATGTATTTCTTCCTCTCCAACCTGTCCTTGGTTGACATCTGTTTCAGCAATACAGTCGTCCCAAAGGTGCTAGTGAACATCCAGACAGAGAACAAAGCTATCTCCTACCTGGACTGCCTTACTCAGGTCTATTTTTCCATGCTTTTTCCCATTCTGGACACTTTACTCCTGACTGTGATGGCCTATGACAGGTTTGTGGCCATCTGTCACCCCCTGCACTACACAGTCATCATGAGCTTCCACCTCTGTGGCCTGCTGGTGTTTACTACCTGGATCATTGGCGTCATGATATCCCTTCTCCATATTTCTTTGATGATGCATCTGACCTTCTGTAAAGATCTTGAAATTCCACATTTCTTCTGTGAAGTGACAAAGATTCTCAATCTTGCCTGCTCTGATACCTTCCTGAATAACACATTGTTATATTTTATGACTGGTTTGCTGGGGGTTTTCCCCCTAATTGGGATTCTTTTCTCTTACTCACGAATTGTTTCATCCATCAGGAAGATGTCCTCATCTGAGGGAAAACAGAAAGCATTTTCCACTTGTGGTTCTCACCTCTCAGTCGTTTCTTTATTTTATGGGACAGGCGTGGGAGTCTACTTCACTTCTTCAGTGGTTCATCCCTCCCAGAGTGTCTCAATAGCCTCAGTGATATACACTGTAGTCACTCCCATGCTGAACCCCTACATCTACACTCTGAGGAACAAGGATGTTAAGGAGTCCCTGGGAAGGCTCCTCCACAGAGCGGCCTCTTGTCTGTGATGGATCCATTGGCCCCAGGACTAAGACTTGTGGGTATCAATGACAAAAAATTTTGATTCTGAAGTTTGATCAAATCCCAACTCCTGGATCTCTTAAACCATCTTTTTGTTTTACCTGATCCTGGTGGATAAATGATTTTCTCTCTCATAGTTTTTCACATTTTCTGACATCAGCTCTGGTGGCATAGTGCCTGAGGCATTTGACTGCTAACCAGAAGGCTGGTGGTTCAAACCTACCAGCCACTCCTGGGAAGGAAGACCAGGCAATCTACTTCCATACAGATACCACCTCCAAAACCCAAGGAGGGGTCACTGTGAGTCAGAACCAACTTGATGGCAATGACTTTGTTTTTTTGTTTTTTAATATCCATAATTCCTTTAATTATATTTCTGCCTTATCATCTATCCAAAAAGTATGTCCAGAATAGTGACTGGGGTCTTAAAATCTTTCAAGCAGTCATCTAAGATGCAACTAATGGTCTGCTAGCATTAGAAATGAAGAAGAATGCAAAAACCCAAGGGCAATTGGGAGCAATCAGCCCTAAGACATGATGGTCCTTGAGACCAGAAGAACTAGATGGTGCCCAGGTACCAATCCCAACTGCTCAGGAATGGATCAAATCTGGAGATCCTGTAGAGAGTGGGGTGAAACATGTGGAATAAAATCCAAAAACTCAATAATGACCAGAATTACTGGTCAGAAGAAGTCTGATGATATCCCCAATACTATGGCCCTGGAATACATTCTGTGCCTGGAATAAAACTCACCCTCAGGAACTGGTTGTCAACCCAATAGTTAACAAGATGTACATGCAGACCACTCAATCCAGGATGACACAACCACATACTTTATGGTAATATATCCCTTAGAGAAATAGACCACGGGGCACCAGAGGACCAATTGAGGAAATGCAGGACAAACAGGATTGCATAAATATGAGGAGTACAGGTGGAAGGTTATTGGGCAGGAAGGGGAGGAGACTGGGTTAGTGTTGGACATGGTAACTGTGGAGTGAAACTAAATGTACACATAACATTGAATGTAAAACAAGCTTTTAAAATAAAAAAAAATTAAAAATATATGTCCAATAACTTTTACAATTATGCCAAGAGAAATTCTGAGATTGCTTTTTCATTTTTATGTGACCCTTCCATCATCTTTCTTACTTCCACACTGGAGATTTCTAAACTTAAACTTTAAGCACTTAGTATAGTTTTCTCTCTCAAGCGTTCAATTATTGACTTTTTTCACCTTAATTTATTTGTAAGTGTTTGTATGTGGATTTCAATGTGTTTGTATGTGGACTATGTGTGTGTTTTACCAACATTGTTTACTTTTTTATTTATTTTAACCAAACAAAGTATGATTAAAATACATATAATAAAAATAACTATTTAGTGCTTATTTAATGCATTTAGGATGTGCTAAATGCTCTTATATATTATGTTTTATAATCTTCCCAATAGGAACCATAACTGTCCTCATTTTCCACTTGCTGTCAAGTCAAATCCTACTCAGGACAATCCAATGTGTCAGAATGAAACTGTGGTCCATAGGGTTTTCAATGATTGATTTTTTGGAAATGGATTGCCAGGTGTTTCTTCCAAGGTTCCTTTGGGTACTTCTTAATTTCTGTGGAAATGCAAAAGCCTAACTTCTAACCTAGGAACTCTGGTAGCATAGTGCCTAAGGCACCTGACTGCTAACCAGAAGGCTGGCAGTTCAAACCCACCAGCTACTCCTCGGAAGGAAGTTTGGGCAATCTACTTCCGTAGTGATACTGCCTTGGAAACCCAAGAATGGGTTGCTATGAGTCAGGTCCAACTTGACAGCACATAACAACAACAACCCCTAACCTGGACCCTTGTTCCAGGTTGCATGCAGTACTATCCCCTGCAATAAAGATATAAGAAATATCCTGATTAATAAAGTAGAGGGTCAGGGAAAGAAGGGAAGATCTAAACCAGATGAATTGACACAGGGGCTGCAACAATGAGCTCAAGCACAGCAATGGTTGTGAGTATGGCACAGGACCAGGCACTGTTTCATTCTGTTGTACATAGGGTCACTATGAGTCAAAACCAACTCAATGGCCCCTAACAAAAACAACATTTTTCTCTAGCTTATATGGAAGTAGAAAACTCTGGCAGCTACACCAATACTAAGTGTATTTGAATTAACTATGTGTGATAAATGGTGCTTTCAAGTCCTCTTACCTGAGGACTAGTTATTATTTATCTTGAGACTTGCAAGTAATGGGTTGTATTTTCTGGCTATATAAAGATTTGAAGGCACACCAAATATGGGTCCTTACCTGGTGTGTGATTAGGCCAAAGTAGTTTACACGCTGAGTGATTAAGAGGAGAGAAAATTATTTATTGCAAAGTGGCAATGCAAGGATACAGGGGCCCATCACCAAATCTAACTCCCTGAATGGAGGTTGGAAAACAGTTTTTGTAAAGTTCAGGAGAGGAGCTTATACATAGTTATAAATATTTCAGGAATTTGGTCATGAATTAAGTGGGGATTTGCTAAGGCTTCCTTTACCTTGGTTTAAAAAACCAAAACCAAACTCACTGCTGTCAAGTGAGATCTGACATAGTGTGACCCTTCATTGGGTTTCTGAGGCAGTATCACTAAAGAAGTAGATTTCCTAATCTTCCTTCTGGAGAACTGTTCAAGACCAAGAGACAAATCATCAAAGGACATGAGTGCCAGGTGCATGTCCAACAGCGACAGGAGAAGGCAAGGCCTCTCTCACAGTTAAACACTTATGGTTAAATACATACTTGGCAAAACATCAAGTATTAAAAGTAGATGTTATTCCAGGAGTCCTTGTTTTTATCTTATTGGGATGTTACATACTTTGGGTCACTGTTCCCTAGTAAACATTTATTGTTTTTCACTCCTTAT